CATTTTGAAATGTATACAGTGCGGTCAATATCTTTAAGAATCTCTCGATTTTGAGCGCGCAAAGAAAACTAGAAAAAATATCAAAAAACTGTAAACGCCACTCGATTCAGAATCCAAAACAACCCCCAGAAAACGAAGTTTCATGAATTTAGCACTTTCTCTTCAGGCAGAATTCAGATAAGTACAAATCTTCATAATCGGAGGTGAGACGGTTGATGAGTTCTGGGGCTACCGTTGAGAAGATTTTCGTGCCAATTCGGTCAATTATAAATATTCAAATGATGAAATGATGAAGCAGAAAGAAAAAGCTTTCTAATAAAATAAAATGACATTGAATTCCACGCGTCTCCGGAACAAAATGATTCATAACTCGTTTCAAAATTGAGCTAGGAACTTGAGTTTTTTGGCAAAGCAATTCAAATTTTTTCGCTTTCCGGCATACTAAAATTTGGGATAACAGTTACCTGCAGTTTTCAACAAATTCTGAATAACTTTCAACGGTACATCTCTGGAACTAAACTGTCGACAACTCCGCCGCATTTTCATTTCTTCGTAGAAAATTTGAGAATTCCGAAGGGTAATGTCGTCGTTGATCACTGGCGTACGGTAGGGAATCTGTAAAATGAGCAATATTTCAAGGACTTGTAAGTTGGAATTAGGTTATCTCAGTCCTTATCATAGATATCAAAAATCTCTCAACTGATAAAATACAGCTGATTTTATGATAAAAATGTTATAAGTTAACAAATTCTTCGTATCTGTTGAAGGAACCGAGATAATTGAGCTCAACGAACAGAATAACTTGGATTTCAAAAAGTTCATCAGTGGAGCGCATTTACTTACCATCCTCTCACGAATAACCATTTCATGGAGATCCGTGAAAACCATCTCGTCACCAGTTTGTTTATCGGATACTTCTACCTGGAAAAAAGCGCAATTTTTACAATTTTTAGAAAGCTCGACCGCGTAGCCAAGCATGTAACTTTCAGAAAAACCATCATAACTTGCATAGAGTCAGTGCTACAGTTTTGAATTTTGTAACATTAGAAAGAACGCAAAATTTTACATTAGATTGTAGAGTTTAAAAATTTCATTTCCTACCGTACCCCGAGCCATCGGTCGGCGTGGCTACAGCCGCGTAGCTCAGCGGCACAACCCAGAAAAGGCGCACTAACTCGTTCAGATTTATAGCTAGAGCTATGATTTTTATGCCATTAGAAAGAATTTAAAATTTTGGATAAGATGCTCAATACCAAAGAAAACATACTTTTCTCTGTTTGGTCCTGCTCTCTAATTGTTTCTCCACTCTCTTGTTCATACGATGCAATAAGGAAGCCACCTGGTAGATCACAAACAAAATCACCTGGAATATCGATTACTTCATCAATAGAGCACATTTACTGACCCCTAGTGTGAATAACACATTGAGAACAGCTTCTGAAGAGTGTCCTTGATTTCCGAACGAATTTAACCATTGTTTGATGGATTGCAAATCGATTAAAGGCTCTTTTCCCGTTGAATCTCCATAAGCCTAGAGAGAAAGAAATTGCGCTCTATTGGACGATAATACAATTACCTTATGATGTGTATGCTTCTTCATGCTCTTCGGTTCCTCTCGATCATCGCCTCTGGTTTTGGATATTGGCAAAAACTACTATAACTATCTGAAATCCGTATAGGTGCACTTTGAGCCCATTTTTCTCGGATGCTATGAGAGATGACAAAAAGTGGTCAACTGATAAAATGTTGGTGATTTTATGATACACATTTTATCAATTAACACCTTTTTGATATCTTTCACAGGAACCGAGATAAAAGTGGCACAGCAAGTGATGCCGACCGCTTAGCTATGCAAAAGCTTGAGCTTAACTATCTCGGTTCCTATGAGAGATATTAATAATTTGACCACTGATAAAATGTAACCCATATTATGATAAATAAATTATTAGTTTCTTTTTGATATCCTTCACAGGAAATTAGCAATATGAGCTTAAAATTGACGGTTGGAGTTAATAACTGGACAACTACTCGGTTTTTAAAAAACGCCATAACCTTTCTCAGACCATATATTTCTAGATCAAGTAGAAAGGGTATAATAGAAACACTCAAAAACTACAAAATTACACTAATTGGGTTACTGTATCTTGTTTATAAAAAAGTTACAAGCTCTAATCGATGGGTATGCTCTAATAGAAGCATGTCCAATACAAACACTTTAAGCTCAATTATCTAGCTTTCTATGATAGATATCAAAAAGTTGTCAACTGATAAAATGTTTTTGATAATATGATAAACCTTTTGTTAGTTGACTACTTTTTAATATCTCTTATAGAAACCGAGATAGATTGGCTCAGAGTTGAAATTTAGAAATTTCAACTGAACACAAAGCTTCAGAGAAAGATTGACATTTGTCCGTTCCAATGGGCCTATTAGCTATATAGTGGCAAAAAATGAGAAAAAGAAAATGTGAGAGCAATTGGTGCCAGATGTGTTTTTGTGGAAGAAACAGAAAGAAAAATGAGGCAGAGAAGAAGATGAAACATGTGTTAAAGATGCGTCTAATAGCGCGGAGATAATGGTGGTGTGGTTTTTAGAAAACAGCTTTCCCCAGACTCGATATTTTCAGTCCAAACAAAATGGATATGATAGGAGAACTCAAGAGCTAAAACATGAAATAGTTTTAAAAACTGTATCTAATCTATGAAAAAAGATAGAAGTTCTTATAGAGGGCATACCGCATATGCTCTTTTTTCGATATCTTTAACAAGACTCGAGATAATTGAGCTCAACGTTGACGGTTTTGGATAGGATTCTATTGATAAAATTGGAAATGTTTGGAGGCGCATAACTCGGTTCAACATTGGACTTTCTGCTTGATCTAAAGCGTAGAATGTAGAACTTGTCAAGATCTACAAAATAATACTTTAAGGTGGTGTACGGTGAAATTTTTTTTTGCATCAAAATGTGCAGAAATGCATGTAGATTGACATAAAAATGAAGAAAAAATTCAAAAGAAATTCCCTCGGCGAGAAAAACGCATCGAAAAATACGCTGAAAACCCTTAGGGACGAGGTATTAAGGCTTCCATTCGGTCGGGAAATTTAGCCGACCGACCAACCACCGACCCCGCCGACCGAACTGACCGATCGGTCGGCGCGCCGACCGTTTTCGTGCATTTGCGCGTCAACGTGTTTGCATACGCTGCTTTGTATTTTACGACAAACTACTCACTAAAAGCCTCGTTTGTCGTAAAATAAAGTGCTTCGTACGCAAAAATTCGTGTTTTTATGCGCAAAGGCACGAAATCGGCCGGCGGTCGGCGATTTTCGACCGACCGAAATGGAACCCTTAAACTGTATAATGGAATTTTTCAGAATTTGAAGGCTCATTCGATTTTCAGAGCCTGCTAGGCTCAAAAAAAGTAACTTCAATTCTATCACTGAGAGGCTAACGCTGCCAAGTTATCAACTTGGCAGCTATCAGTGATAAAGTGATAAAAAAGAGCAGATAGAGGCAATTTGGAGCTATAAAAATATTTTTACGAGGATGCTTCAACAAATCGTTTGATCTTCACACTTCAAATTTTTTAAAGATTTCTGAGAAAATGTAAAATTTGAGAAGAAATTCAAATTCAAAAGTGTATGAGAAGGAAAAAACAATTTTGATTTTTGAAAAAATCGCAATTTCCAATTCCCGTGAAAGATATCAAGGTTTTGTCTATTGATCAATTTTTATCATATTATCACCAACATTTCACTTTGGGTCAAAGTTAGGAAGATACTTGGAACGTCAGAGCTTTGAGCTCAATTATCTCGGCTCCCATAAAAGATATCAAAAATGTGTCAACTGATAAAATGTTTATCAAATTATGATAAACATTTTATCAATTGACACTTTCTCGATATCTCTTAAAGGAGCAGAGATAATTGAGTTAATAGTACAAGGGGAGTTAAAAGGCTTTCGGGAGTCTTCTTGAAAAAATTTCGAAAAAAAACAAGATTTCCGGGTCAAAAACGAGCTGTTTGACTCGGTGTGTGAGACCGAGTCAAATTGAAAACTCATGGGTGATTTCTCTCTTCTCTCGTTTTTTGACTGTCTTCTTCTTCTTCTTCTTCTTCTTCTTCTTCTTCTTCCACACCAATTTCTTTGTGAGAAAAAGAAGAAGAAGAAGCGAGGGAGGTTTTGCTCTTCTGCCATCAGAAGATGAAAAAAAAAGAGGAAGAACATTGTAAAATTTGAGAGAGGCGCGATGGCACAAGGCGACAGGTGTGTTTCTGTGTGTGTGTGCTCCTGGAGCATGTTGCATGGCAAAAGAAAAGCAAATGGCAGAAAAAGAAGAATAAAAGAGACAAAATGAAAAAAATAAAGAGATTTGAAATTTGAGTGGGGAGGAGAGACGCTCATTGACATGACAAAAAACATGTACCCCCATGAAACAATGGCTTTGTTTTTTCATGTTAGAATGAAAGCTGGGTTTAGAGATGTGCTGAATTGAAGTAGAATGAAATAAACGTGAAATTTTATGAGCTTCACAATGGTATATAAATCAAAACTGTATCTTCAAATCTAAGCGAGTTATGATGACTTTCCTGGGTCGCACTCCTTATGAGCGCGCATTACGCGGTTGCAGCCTTGCCGACCAATGGCGTAGAGTACGGTAGTAAGCGAATTTTATAAAAATCACTGTCTTGTGTAAAATTTTAAGCTCTTTCGAATGCTGTTAAAATAATATCTGTAACTCTAAAACTGAACGAGTTATGACCACTTTTATGAATTGCGCTACTGAAGGTCCTTCAGTGTAAAAGAGGTTAGGAACGTTTTTATTGAGAGACTGTAGCCGTGCCAACCAACGAAAATTGGACTAGGTGGGGTTCGAACCAGAAAGCCCTTTTTCCAAAGTCAAAGTTGTTATCCATTGCTCCACGGCTCCCTCAATGGCACCACAAGCGGCGCCACGCCGCCACCCATCGAGTCGCGCCCACCACCTCTTTCTTATACATCTACTGCCTCGCTTAACTCGTTGGCGCGCGTAGCCTACACATGTAAAGGGGGACTGCCAAAAATCTGCTAAATGACAGCTGAAGAGGCGCAAACTGGCGAATGACTGCTAGTTGGCAGCCGAAGGAGAACTGACGGGCCGTCGACGGTCCGTCGACGGACAGTCGGTACCGATTGGAAAACATACTTGAAGGTTCTGATTGGAAATCATGCAGAAAACAATTTCTCATACTCCCACTAGATTATAGAATGTTGATAGAATCTTATTTTCCTCAAATATGACCACCTCAAAAAATAGGTTGTTGAACGACTGCTAAATGACAGTCGAAGAGGCGCTGACTGGCCAACGACCGGGTGTTGGCGGTCCAAATTCCTTCAGAATGGAAAATTTTGTTGAAAAAATAGTTCTCTCTAAAAACATCATAAAAGTCATAGAGGGGTCTGGGAAGCTAAAAAATGCGTTATTAGAAGCATTTCTATAAAAATTAGGATTTGAGGCGCTGTTGGTGAAAAACTGCTAAATGACAGTCGAATAGGCGCTGACTGGTTGATGGCGGCTGAATAAAAAAAATATGTTTGAAAATTCCTTGGTATATATCTAGAAGCATGTGTTAGCATTTTCGTGTTCCAAGATCTTTACACGAGTTGTCATCGCATGATAATAATCAATCGTTCAGGACACATGTTCTCGGTCATATTTTTCAATTTGCTTAAGATTTCCGACGAAATTTGTTTTTAATTTTGTACAATTTGTGTCTGAATGTGCTATTTTTTCCGTTTTTCTTCAAAAATCACAACAATTCATTTTTAAATGCCGTTTTATAACTGCCGAGTTTCAAAATTTCGGTCATAGAGATTTGCAACGACACTCCGAAATCCCGGCTGCGCCTTGTTTAGCGGCACAAGACATTACTAATTTTTCGTCTTTTTTTCAGTTTCTTTCGCTTTTCGAAGTGTTCTCTTATTGAAATTCAGTATTTTTCGCTTAATTTATCTAACTACTGGCATAAAGAAGCACTGAAAAGCTTTGCGCACTTTCGCTCTGCGCGTTTTTAGTTGAAAACGCAGAAAAAATAGGCGAAAACTCCTTGCGATGAAAGTTTCGAAAGTTTCGCTATTTTTTGCTTCGGAGCGTTACAAATGTAGCCTTTCAGGAGTTTTTATATGGTGAGTTGGTAAGTTTTTATACGTTCCGAAGCAAAAACTATCGTAAACTCTGAAATTGTTCATGCGTTGTCGAAAATTCACCTCGCCGATACTTCATAGGTGTGACGTTTTGCAAGTGCAATGTTTGGAAAGTAACAACTTTGCAAGGTTCGCACAAAATTTAATACGGAAATCAGTTTTTGCTGTTTCTGACTCGTTTTTTAAATTTCACATGCGAAACGTCGCCCTTTTGAAGTCTGCTTTAAAAATGCCGCAGAGCCTAAAATTCTAAAGATTTTTTACTTGCCAGTTTTTAGTGTTGCGAACGCATCAATTTTACTTATTTTGAACGTACTTATAAGCGAAAAATACTGTTCAATGAGAGAAATGTACATACCGAAAAACGAAAAAAGTTGAAAGAGAACGAAAGGAAATAAAAAAAGCTTCTGATTTTCCGAGTTGAGTTTCTGTGAAGTTTGAATTTTGCGAAAACACAGAAAGAAAATCGGAAGTTCTGTCTCATTCAGAACTTGTGATTTCTTATGTGTTTTCTCTTGTTCTACTCATAAAAACTCACCTTTGAAAAAATCAGAGTTACTTTTTAAAAACAATACACAATCCACAGAAACTATTAGTTGAATAAAGAATTTATATTGTTTATTACCTGTTTAATGATGAACTGTCAAGAAGGCGCTATCATTATAGACGGTCCGTCTTCGAGGCGCAAATCGTTACAGACGGACCGTCGGCTGCGCGCGATTCGACTGCCGACTGTTCGCTTTTCGGCAGTCCGCGCCCGCCAGACGGCCCGTTTTTCGGCAGTCCCCCTCTACCTGTGTAGAGGCTTGTGCTTCTACCTACCAATCTCACGTCCGGGGTTCGATTCCCACCCCTGGCCGTTTTCTTTTTTATTCGATTTAAAGGCACGCACAGTACCTTTGCAGTTTTTTAAAGGCTTTTTGTATAATTTCATACGTCTCTGTCTGATTTTTAGGTCATTTTTGGTAACAGAGAAAAACAAAAAGAAAAGAGTAATGTAGTTTATTTATTTTGTTTTTTTTTTTGCGATTCGATTTACAATTTTAATTGTGAAAATTAGAGACTAATTAAATCCAAAAAAAAAACAAACATTGAAATTGAAAAAAAAAATTTTCAAAAAAAAATCCGAATTTTTTTCAAATTTTCAGCATTTGATTTTTTTTGAGATTTTCAGATGTTTCCAAGCAACAAATTAGCAATAATAATTCATAAATAACATGGAAATTCAGAAAAAAAAATGGAATAGAGATCACAATATAATATAAGGGAAACAAGAGCAAAAAATGCAATTCTTGACAATAAAAAAGCTGTAAAAAAGTGAATTTTTCAAAAAATCAATCAACCGAAACACAATCAATTTGCTCCTCAACAATCGGCAAATGCATCCATGCCCTGTCGACGTCGAGCAGGGCTTCTGGGTCCACGTGACGAAGATTCTCGTATTCGCCTCGCGCAGTTGCCATTCACGAATCACTTTGCCCGAGTTGTCGTCGCCAACGATCCGGGTGTCACAGCATCTGGAATTTTGGATTTTTTGAAATTTTCGAAAAAAAAATTTTTTTTTCGATTTTTTGCCGAATTTTCAAATTTTTTTCTAGAAATGTCTCAAAATTCTGAGCTAAAATCGCTGAAAATTCATCAAAATCGCTTTGAAATCACCAAAAAATCATAGAAATCCATATAATTTCTCCCTAGACTACTGTAGACGACAAAGTCCGCAATGAGGGTGTCATTGCGGACCTGTGCATCACATTCGACGCGCATGGGAAATTAATGAATTTTTGGATTTTTTGAAGCGATTTTGGTCATTTTTAGGCCTAAAAGTGCCAATTTTCGCCTTTTTCATGTTTTAGAGTGAAAAATTGCGAAAAATCGATTTTCAGCTCATTTCTCACCTCAAAAGCACTCCATCGACTCTCATGTAGAACCGAAGCAACACGAAGAAGTATCCCTCGCGCATGACACGACAACGAGCCGAGAGCTGGAATATTGATTTTAATAAAAGTGGCCTCCGAGAAAAGTTGGGCCAGAATTTTCAAATTTTTTGCTGAAAAATCCAATTTTTTTGCCGTTTTTCGGGTCGTTTTGACTTAAAAATCCTCAATTTTGGCTCATTTTTCCCCAATTTCTCAACAAACCTGAGCAATTCCATGGTCGGCAAGCTCATCCTCGAACAAGATGACACTTGACGAGAAGGCGATGGCGTCACGACGCTTCAGACGCTCCATATCGATGCGTTCAGTGGTTGGGGTGACCTGAAACATTTTTGATAGATTTTAGGCTTATAGACCTGATTTTTGAGGTTTTTAAGGCATTTTTAGATCAATTTTCAGTAAACTTTTATAGCATTTTTCGAGGGAGAAAGCTTGAAATTTGTCAAGAAAAATTCGCTCCGATTCCACCTCCACCCTCCCCGATTTCACCTCCATCAGCTCCGATTCCACCTCCACCAGCCCCGATTCCACCTCGACTATCCCCGATTCCACCTCGAACAGCTCCGATCCTTCGATTCCACCTCCACCATCCTCGATTCCATTTCCACCAGCTTCAATCCTTTGATTCCACCTCCACCAGCCCCTGATTTCACCTCGACCAGCTCCAATCCTTCGATTCCACCTCCACCATCCCCGATTCCACCTCCACCAGCCCCGATTCCACCTCGACTATCCCCGATTCAACCTCGAACAGCTCCGATCCTTCGATTCCACCTCCACCATCCCCGATTCCAGCTCCACCAGCTTTAATTCTTTGATTCCACCTCCACCAGCCCCTGATTACACCTCGACCAGCTCCGATCCTTCGATTCCACCTCCACCATCCCCGATTCCACCTCCACCAGCCCCGATTCCACCTCGAACAGCTCCGATCCTTCGATTCCACCTCCACCATCCTCGATTCCACCTCCACCAGCTTCAATCCTTTGATTCCACCTCCACCAGCCCCGATTCCACCTCGACCATCCCTGATTCCACCTAGACCATCCCCGATTCCACCTCCATCAGCTCCGATTCCACCTCCACCAGCTCTAGTTCCAACTGCTCCGATTCCAGCTTCCGGATTATAACCTCCAGTTCCAATAGCTTCAGCTGCCCAGGACCCAGAGCTCCGGCTCTAGGAGCTCAATCTCCAAGAGCGCCAGCTCTCTAGCCGAAGCTGGAGAACTGACTGATTCTCACTGTTTCTCTCTGTCCTTATATACGAAATCTCCTGGGAGATTCTTATCTCTGTGCTCCATTTTTTTCACTTTTTAAATAATTTTTTTTCCAAAACGTTAAATTTTCTTTTTCGATAAAAATTTAGAATTTTTTAAATTTTTTTACGCCCAAGCCCCAATTGCTTTTTCAAATTTCAGAATTTTCATCGAAATTTTCACATTTTTAAATCCTAAAACTCCTAAAATCTACCGAAAATTGGCATTTTTAGGCCAAAAAACGGCCAATATCGCCTCAAAAATCCCCAAAACTCTTTAATCCCCCATGCGCGTCAAATGTGATGCACAGGTCCGCAGTGACACCCTCATTGCGTACTTTTTCATCAACAGTAGTCTAGGGCGAAATTGAGCGATTTCTATTATTATTTGGTGATTTTGAAGCGATTTTAGCTCAGAATTTTGAAAAATTCGAAAATTTAGCAAAAAAATCGGAAAAAAAGTCTAGGAGAACTTAATGATTTTCCATGGATTCTTGGGTGATTTTTGGCGGATTTTAGCAATTTTCAGAGCATTTTTAGGTCATTTTTTAGTGATTTTAAGGCATTTTATTGACATTTTTCGCGGTTTTCCCCCAAGAAGATATTAATCATTTTTAGCTAGTTTTTCAGTGATTTTTTGGCGGAATTTTTTCGAAAATCCCATTTTTCCCGTTTTTCAACCTTAAAAATAAAAATATCCAAAAAATTGACATTTTGACACTCAGAAATGAGCTGAAATCGCTTCAAAAATGCCCAAAATTCCTTAATTTTCTATGCGCGTCAAATGTGATGCACAGGTCCGCAGTGACACCCTCATTGCGGACTTTCTCATCTACAGTAGTCTAGGGCGAAATTTAGCGATTTTTGATGTTTTCAGGTCATTTTGAAGCAATTTTCGTCAATGTTTCTTGAAAATTCTTGTTTGCTAGCCGATTTGGGAGCATTTGTAGCGATTTCCAGTGATTTTTTCGCCCTCACCTTCAACCCATTGACCGTTCCCTTATAATGTGTGGTGAATGTCCAATCAAACGGCTTCTGATGATTCTGAATCTCCTGAATTCGATCCTTTCGTGACGATTGCCACGCCGACGACGCGCCGACCTGCACATCGGGCAGACGATCGGAAATCACCATTTTCAGCGCGTCGAGGGTGTTGAATTCGATGAATCCCGTCGATTGGAAGTGAATGCGGAGGCAGTTCCGTGCGAATACCATCTCGGGAAGCTCGTCGAGCGCAAGTTCCTTGTCGTATTTGCATTTCTGAAAAAATTGGATTTTTCGAAAATTGAAGATTTTTTTATTGCATCAAAATGTGTAGAAAAATGCTTAAGTGCGAAGAAAAATCGGATTTTTCGAAAAAAAAATTTTTTTAATTTTCAGAATTTTTTTTCAAAATGTTAAGTTTTTCAGCGAAAATTCTGAAAGATTCAAATTTTCCGCTATTTCTCCTCCCTGAACACTAGAAAAACTACGAAAAAATGAATAACAATAAATGAAATTATCGAAAAAAAATCCTAAAATTTTGCTATAGAAAAATGCGATATTCATCAAAAAATTTATGTAAATTTTCAAATTTTTCGCAACTTTTCACTCTACAAACCACAAAAAGTGCGAAAAATCGGCATTTTAACACCAAAAAATGGCCGAAATCGCTTCAAAAAAAAATGCCCAAATTCATTAATCCCCCATGCGCGTCAAATGTGATGCACAGGTCCGCAGTGACACACTCATTGCGTACTTTCTCATCAACAGTAGTCCAGGGGGAAATTAAGGGGAATTATTGAATTTCGGGTGATTTTCAGCGGAATTTCGGTCATTTTGGATCGTTTTAGCTCAAATTTTCTCGAAAAATCTGGAAAAATGGCAAAAATCGCTAAATATTCTAGTTATCAAGGCGAAAACTCAAAAATTTCACCAATTCAACGGAATTTTCGAATTCTGTCTGGCTTTAACTCAAAATTTCTCGAAAATCCTGATTTTTCCGTCATTTTTTGCCGATTTTTCGGCCTTACCAAGCAATTTGGCTCCTGAATTTCTTTCGAATGTTTACAAGAACTCTCTAGAATATGTCCGGCCAGCGATTGGAATTCAAAGCCACCCTGCTTGAAGAATTCCTCTTTTTTCGCATGCGCCGCCGCTCGACACATCACTTCATCGATGTTTCGTCGAGAGCCTCGTGAGGGCATCATCGTTGATGGATTCATCATTTTCTTGGCTGAAAAATCACTGAAAATCGACGAAAACCTGTTAAAATCGATGAAAATCGGGTGAAAATGTGTCTAAAATCTTTTTTGAAAAAGTTGAAAAATTCGAAAATTTTTAGCTCAATTAATTGATTTTCTTGAGAGTTTATAGAGCTGAAAATTCGATTTTTTTTCGCTCAATTTCTCGATTTTTATGGCTAAAAATCCAATTTTTGTAATTTTTTGCATTTTTTCAGGTATATATATATATATCAAACATAGAGAGATCACAGCACTCATTTTTTCAACAAAAACAACAACAATCACGAACAATTTTCAGAACGAAAACCCACTAAAAATTCCAAAAATTCAAATTTATCCTCTTTTTTCGGGCAAAAAAAAACAAAATTTAGGCGGAAAGGGGAAAAAAGGAGAAAAATTCCAAAAAAAATTCTTGAAAAATCTAGAAAAATCCAAAAAAAATCCTGAAAAATCTGAAAAAAAAATTGAGGAAATTTCCAAAAAATTCCTAAAAATTTTTTGGATTTTTTTTCTGAAAATTACAGAAAAAGAATAGAAAAATTTCGAAAAAAAATCTGGAAAAAAATCTTTAAAAATTCCAGAAAAAATTGAAAATTTCCAGGAAAAATCTAGAAAAAATCCGAAAAATTAATTTAAAAAATCAGAAAAATTTCAGAAAATTCCAGAAAATTTTTTTTGAAAAATTTTTGGTAAAAATCTAGAAAATTAAAAAAAAGACCTAAATTTCTAGAAAAATCCAGAAAAAAAGGACAGGAATGGGACAAGAGAGACGCAGAAAAAGCAATTTTTTTTTGAAAATTCGTTTTGGCGGGAAATCCAAAATTTTGAATTAAAATCCAAAAAAGGGGGAGAATGACACAAGTAAGAGGAAAAGGAGGCAATTAAATAGGGGACAATTAACCAAAAAAAAAATCACAAATTTTGAAAAATTCGACTTTTCACCATTTTTTCGGTGAATTTTTCACATTTTTCTGTGTAAAATTTCGGAAAAAAATCGATTATTTTCAAATTTTTCCGCTAAATTTCAAAAAAATCCTAAAACCAAAAAAACATGAAAATCAGAGATACAGCCAGAACGACAGGAACAACTACAGTAATCAAATTAAGCTGAGCAATGTCATTATCATCCTCCTTCTTGGATACTGTAGTAGATACAGCTGGAGATGATGCTAGATGCTCTCTTCTCAGTTCCTCTAAATTTTTTATTCGATGACGTGGCAGCGGCTGCTGAGATTCAGATGACGTTACCGGAGATTCTGATCCTTCAGAAGACGTCGTAACGTCGTCTAGAACGTTCATCAGCCTCTCCAACGCCTTATTCTCGAATTTCTCGTTATTTTCCACCATTCTCATCATCATTTTCGCATATATGTCCTGCTCCTCAGTGCCTTTTGGGATGCCCACCAGATTCTGAAAAAAAAATTTTTGGAAAAAAATTGTTTTTTTTTCGAATTTTTCAAATTTTTGCATCCCATAATAAACTTCGAAAACCCGGGAAAAATTGGATTTTGCAAAAAAAAATTTCCAAAAAATTTTTTTTTTGAATTTTCCGCTTTTTTCCCTTAAAACTAGAGAAAATGCAAGAAAAAATAACTAAAAACTGCTGAAACTTTCGAATTTTTTTTCCCAAAAAATACGAAAAATTTACCATGCAAAAAGCTAAAAATTGGCCTGAAAATTGCGATTTTCATCAAAATTTATATAAATTTTCAAAATTTTCGCAATTTTTCACCCTAAAAGTGAGAAAAACGCGAAAAATCGGTTTTTTTAACACTTAAAAACAGCCAAAATCGCCTCAAAAATTCCCAAAATTCATTAATATTTCATGCGCGTCAAATGTGATGCACAGGTCCGCAGTGACACCCTCATTGCGTACTTTCTCATCTACAGTAGTCCAGGGGGAAATTAAGGGGAATTATTGATTTTAGGGTGATTTTCAGCGGAATTTCGCTCATTTTGGATCGTTTTAGCTCAAATCTTCTCAAAAAATCTGGAAAAAAATGGCGAAAATCTGGCCAAATTAAACAAAAATCTGTTAAAAATTTTCGACATTTCATCGGATTTTTGTTCACAATAGTTGAAATTTGGCCTAATATTCTCCATTTTCATTTTAAGACATTTTTCAGCCGTTTTTAGTAATTTTTAGGCTAATTTTGGGGCATTTTCACTAATTTTTGAGTCTTTTTCCCCCAAAAAGCTCACAATTTTCTTATTATTCTTCTTTTTCTCCGCATTCGTCGTTTTTGTTGTCCCATAGTTTTTTCCATGCATTTTGATCATGTCCGACTCGATGATTTTTCGAGTTTTCTGGAAATAAATTGGTTTTTTTTTCAAATTTTCAGGTCATTTTTAGCTAATTTTTCAGCCATTTTTCCATCAATTTTTTTCATTTTTCAGCGAAAAATCGAAAATTTTCCGATTTTTAGCTAATTTTCAGCGTTTTTTAACTGATTTTTTTTTCCAATTTTCCGATTTTTACCTCATCAAAAATGCTCAATCTGTCTTTCGAGACGACAGTTGATGCCGAAGATGTGGTTGCCTTCATATTCTGAATTCAATTTTTTTCTGAATTTTCAGAAAAAAAAACCTAGAAAAATACAAAAAATAGAAGAAGGAGTGGATCTAAAAACCTGAAACTTTTCAAAAAAAAAATAGGCAAAAAAATCATTTTTTTTCAATAAAACATATATATTTTTCGGAGATCGTTGAATTGCAAAAAAAATGGGCGGGAATTCAACAATCGAAAATCATGGGGGTGGAAAAACCAATTTTTGCAAGTGCGCTCCACTGATAAAATTTTGAAATTTTGTGTAGAAAATTGTTCAATAGAGCGCACTTACATATCATTACCATATCATAACCGAAATAATAAGAAAGCAATAATTTTTGGGGAGGGGAAAGTGCGCTCTAATGCTACAAAGGCCGAAAATTCAAAATAAAGCGTTAAAAATGCCAAAAAAGGCGCGAAATTGCAGAAAAATGGGACTTCTCTCAATAGAGCGCTCTTTGCTAGGGCGGGAAATTCAAATTTTCGGGTGGAAAAACAAGAAAAAAATTGGGAGATATGCATTGATTGAGGATGTGTATGTGGGGGTCTTGGGGGCGGGGCGAAAGATTTCATGGGTTTTTCAATTTAAAAAAAAGGTGCGGGACCAGTGAAAAAAAAGGTGATTATTGGATAGAAAATAATGACAAAAAACTAATTTTTTGGGGGGAATTGGGGAATTTTCAAAAAATTTCCGAAAACATTTTTTTCAAGAATTTAAGGTTTTTTTTCGGATTTTTGATAATTTTCACATTTTTCAGAATTTCCAAGCGAATTCTGAGTTAAAATCGCTGAAAATCCATCAAAAATCGTATTGAAATCCCTCGAAATTCGTTAAAATTCACTCAATTTCCCCTTGAACTACTGTCGACGACAAAGCCCGCAATGAGGGTGTCACTGCGGACCTGTGCATCACAATTGACGCGCATTAGAAATTAATAAATATTGGGGATTTTTGAAGCGATTTTGGTCATTTTTAGGCCTAAAAAAATGCCAATTTTTCGTCATTTTTTCAAGTTGTTGGTGTGAAAAACTGCGAAAAATTTGATTTTCAAACCAATTAGAATTTTAAACGGAAAAAAAAGGTGGCGAAAAATGAGGAAAAAATGAGATAGAAAATGCATAAATTTGGGGATTTTTGAGGGGAAAAAAATAGAGGGAAATAGGGGAATTTTTGATGAAATTAAGCAATTTTTAGAATTTAAAACGATTTTTACAAAAAAAAGCGAAAAAATGAGGTAGGGAATGCAAAAATGGGCTGGCTTTATAGGGGGTTTTTGGGACATTTAAGATGGTTTTGGGGACTTTTTGGGGCCATTTTCAGGGATTTTTAGATGTTTTGGGGTCTAGAATAAAGCAATTTTTAACAAGGATTCAAATTTATTCTTCCATCGGATGATCCTCAAATGCTGAAGCTGATGTAGATAGTCCTGAAGACCCAGATGACGTCGATGAACCTTCTACTGAAGTCGTCAACGACGTCATCAACGGCGCAACAACCATGTCCACAGTGTCCGGAGTGCGTTCCTGACGGCCAGTGTGATTGCGTTTTCCTGGAAGAAACGACGGATTTCGTGCCAGAAGCTGGTGACTTCGCCTGAATTCCCACAAATTTTAGAATTTCAGATTCCACGATTCAAGAATCTCGAGTTTCTGAGATTTAGAGATTCCAGGATTACGGTAGCTTCGAGCTTTCAAGCTCTCAAGATTTCCCGATTTTCAGATTCCAGGGTTTCAAGACTTCGGAAAACCTATATTTTTGATTTCTTTGGATTTCAAAAATTTCAGATTTTTTCGAATTTTTTTAGTTTCAAGGCCATTTTCACTTGACGATTTTTGACGATTCTTGACTATTTTTCCTCCAAAAAAAGGGTGTAAAACTCACTAGAATTATTGGCGGTCGCGGTCGAAGCAGCGGCGATGGTCGACGACGTGTTTGGCGTGTTCAATGAATTCAAACTAGCTGTCGAACTTCCAGCCGCCGCCAATCGTTCTCTCGAATTGAATACCGACGCATCCAACGGTGTCGCTGTGCCCGGTGTCGTTGGAATCGATGAGATTGGAGAGGATTGGTGTTGTTGGAAGGTTTCCAGCTCATTCCAGTCAGTTCCCAGTGAGCACATCATGAGGAATTCCGAGAATGGGGCCTCTTCGAAGCCTGGAAAAAGAAGTGGATGAGGTTAAGGATGAGCAATGACCTAAATTTGAGACTTAAAATGGACCAAAACCTGATATTTTAAGTAGAATTGGCTGATTCTGGCCAATTTGGACCACTTTAAGGCAAATTTCAGACAATTTTTGACCAATTTTAGTACCATTTTTCGTCTATTTTGACTCATTTTTGGTCAAATTTGGGCATAAAGCTTCAGGATAAGCAAGCTGAAGCGGTTTTTGAGTCAAAATTTGAGCTTGAAATATACAAAATTAGTCATTTTCGAGCATTTTCAGCCGAATTCAGACCAATTTTTGACCAATTTTAGTGCCGTTTTTCCTCTATTTTGACTCATTTCTAGTCAATTTTGGGCCGAAAGGATGAGGAGGGGTTTTTGAGTGAACAATTTGATCTTAAGTGGACAGAAACCTGCTATTTTAATTAGGAAAGACTTCGGCTAATGCGGAAAAATGTGGACCATTTTAAGGCAAACTCCAGACAATTTTTGGCCAACTTTAGTGCCATTTTCGACTATTTTTGGCTCATTCTTAGGTCATTTTGGTAGTTTTTTTTTCAAGTTTCAGGTCAGTTTCAGGTCATCGAGGCCATTTTTGACCAGTTTTAGCGTCATTTCTGTCTATTTTCACTTTATTTTTAATCACTTTTGTCCATTTTCGACCATTTTCAGGCTATTCTATGCTTTTTCTGATCATTTTGGATCATTAATTTTGACTTAATTTTGACCTATTTTGGCTGTTTTCGACCTATTTTAGTTTTTTTTCTTGTCAATTTTGAATCAATTTAAAGCAAAACTTAGGCTATTTTCGATCAATTTTAGTCTTTTTAGGGTACTTTTAACTCATTTTTAGATCATTTTCAGCCTATTTTCAGCCATTTCACTCACTTGCACTATACAAAACGAGCCATCGATTAATGACGAATGACCAATCTTCGAATGCCGCGGAGAAATGAAGAGGCGACAATTGGAAGCCGCGATATCTGATTGTTGTGAAGTATCGAGCCAACGGTTGCCTCATGATAGTCGATAGCTGATTGATGTCTCGATTCGCTAGACGATAGAAGACGCCCAGGTTACGGTAGAGATAGTCATGCGTGAATTTGATCACGAGCTGAGCAATCAGTCGGGGGTCTGGAAGAATGAGGGAAGGGTTTTGGGGGGTTTTAGGATTTTCGAGATTTCAGAAGATCATAATTTCAGAATTTCGGGATTTTGAATTTTCAGAATCTTCGAATTTCAGTATCACAAAATTTCAGGAAGTAGGAGTTTCAGAATTTAAGAATTTCAGGATCTCAAAAACTCAAACTTTTGAAACACTTAGTTTCAAAAGTTCAGGAATTCAGGAATTCAAAATAACAGAATTTAATTTTACAGAATCTGAGAATTTCAGTGTTTCAGAATCTCAAAATTACGGAATTTCAGAAATTTAGGGTCTCAGAATCACAGTATTTCAGAATATCCCAGATTTTTTCAGAATTTCATTAATTTTGAAATTCGAATTCCCTTAAAATTCCGAAATTCCGATTTATCTGATTTTCAGACATTCGGAATCTTCGAATTTCAAAATTTTCAGAAAGTTTGGATTTTTAAAAATTCAGAGTTCCAGGTAGCTGGGGTTTCAGAAACTCAGAAACCCAGAAACTCAATTTTCAGAATTTCAGCGATTTTAAGATTCGAAGTTCAGGATTTTCAAATTTACAAAAAATTACAGTATTTCAGAAGCTGGGAGGTTTAAGATTTTTAGAATTTCAGTGATTTCAAAATCTGTTAATTTCAATTTTCCGATTTTCAGAATTTTCGGACTTCCAAAATCAGGAAATCTATTTTTTTTTTGGAATTTCCGAATCTAATTTTTTTAAAAATATTCAGAAATAAAATGTGTGAATTTCATACATTTCCATTTTAAGCCTATTTCAAGCATTTTTCTTGTAAATTTTGGATCATTTTCGATCGATTTTTTCGAAATTTTCAGAAATTCTAAAAATCGAAAATTTGCTGACATTTTCAGACTCAAACAGCCCATTTTTCAGTCACATATTCAACAAAAAAAACTAACTCTGCAAGTGCATGGCCAATGCCAACAGACTCTTCACATATCCAATTTCCACTTGTCTGAACGCCCACGCCGTCGAAACCGTATGGCTCGCATCGGGTCCCAACTGGAATCTCTGCGGCATTCTATCCGGATTCTCCATCAGGAATCTCTCAAAGAACTCCTCCTGATTGGCAATTCTTGCAGCGATTTCATGCAACTCCCCATTCGACACAACCATCCGTCCATCCAAATATCTGCCTCTGATACTCGCCTGCATCTCCTGCGCGTACTCCATCAACACATTCGGCGCCGTCGATGGCCTGGCGAGTTGAGCGTACTCATGAGCTGTCAACCGCTCGTAAGTCAGCTCCATGAGCATTCCAAACACTCCCGTTGGCCGGGGATTCTCCTCATTTTGCATGTATTCTCCAAGGAAGCTCAGCAAGCTAGCGATTCTTCCAGACTCCAGGATTTCCAGCTCTGCCATTGATGGATTGATGGGGATAGATCCTGAAAATGCATTTTTAGGCAATTTTGGACTATTCTCAGTTGATTTTGGCTTATTTTTAGGTAACTTTGGACCATTTTCAGGCTTTTAAAGACCATTTTAAGCCAATTTTGAACTATTTTCAGTCCATGCTAGTCTAGAATTGAAATAATTGGACCGTTTTAAGCCTATTTTCAGACCATTTTGAGCCAATTCTGGACCATTTCTAGCATACCAATCGTTGCGGGACCTGTCACTGGGAACGGTGGTGGTGCTCCGCGTAGCTGAGCCATCATGCCTGCCGCATGCCGTACCGCATCCGCTTGCCTCTGACGATTTTCCATTTGTTGGAGGTGTTCCCGGGTTGATGGTGGTGGTGCTGGTGGAGTGTTGGGATTGAGGAATTGGCGGACAGCCATGAAGAGGTCCGAGTGGTTCGAGGGGGCGTGGCCAGCGATTGCGTTCATGTCTGGAAAAGCGAGTTTTAGCCGATTTCAACATGGTGGCCTAACTTTTACAAGTTGTGAGTTTTCTAGGCCACCATGTTAAAATGGCTAAGAAACCGTATCAAGTGCTTATCTAACAATTTCTAGGCCAAAAAATTGGTGGCCTAGAAAGCTCAAGTTGCAAAAGTTAGGCCACCATGTTAAATTGCCTAAAAATTACCTGATATTCGTCTGGCGTGTTTTCTAGGCCATTTAGCAACGTGGCTTAACTTTTGCAAGTTGAGTTTTCTAGGCCACTATGTCAAATGACTTAGAAATGATCTGGTATACATCAGGTATGATTACTAGGCTGTTCTAACATAGTGGCCTAACTTTTGCAAGTTGCGAATTTTCTAGGCCATCATGCTTAATGACCTAGAAATGACGTCAAATGTTTTCTAGGTCATTTACCATGATGGACTAACTTTTGCAAGTTGGGGATTTCTAGGCCACCATGGTGTAAAATCAGTTTCTAACCTATTTCAAAACATTTTCAGCCAATTTTAACCCTATTTTTAGCCTATGTTAGAGCTTAAAACCCCTCCAAAATCACTCACTCAACGTGATCAACGAATCCGAATCGATGCAAGTGGCGTAGAGACTTCTGACGGCCGTTTGAACGAATTTTTCGAATTCCTGGACACTGTCAAACTTCAATTCTCCACTTTCAGACTTCTTGACGGTGTAGTTGTAATCAGAATCACTTTCTGGGACACAAGGTGGACGACGATCGAATGTTGGGGCGAAATTCTGCAAAAATCGGCTTTTTCAGTGAAAATCAGGCTGAGCAATCGCCCAAAAATCGTTTTCTAGGGATTTTAAGGCCAAAAAATCCTATTTTCTGGCTCTTTTTTTGCTCGAAATCGGCTGGAAAGACGAATTTTTTGTCAAAACAAGACTGAGCAATGACCCCAAAAATCGTTCTCTAGGGTTCTTTAGACCTGAAAATTTGATTTTCTGGCTAATTTTTTACTAAAAGTTCCGCTAAAAGTCGAATTTTTAAACTTTTTGTCGAAATAAGGCTGAGCAATGGGTCAAAATTGTCAATTTTGACTCATTTTTCCTTGAAAATCCACCCAAAATCACCTGAATATGTCTCAAAAACTCATCATCGGGCATGTTGGATTGCATTGTGAATCTCTCTGTTTCCTGATTTCCAGTCATTGAATGCATATTGAGCTCACAGAAACGATTGGAGCACGCCATGAACGGATCGATGGCCACCATTGGTTTAGGACTCGGGTTGCGACGAGGACGACGTTGTGGTAGTGGTCCGTCGACGTAGGCGGATTGGAAGTCGCGGGGGTGGTGCTGGAAAAGCAAAATTTAGTGGAAATGGACGATTTCAAGACATTTTCAGCCCATTTTAGGCCAATTTTGAGCAATTTCTAGCTAATTTTGGACCATTTTAAAGGTGGGGGGAAATGAAAAAAATAATGTTCTCGAAATTTCGTTTAAATATGCCTCTCGAGGAGTTGAACTTGTGAGGGCGATGATTGAGGGTGCGGCGCCTCTACCGACTGAGCTACACGGGCAAAGAGAAAGCGGTCACCCGATTGCATACATAAAGGCGAGGACGACAGCTGTACGCAGAGTGACATTAAACGTTGTACACCGTCACGGTAGAATGCATTCTGGCCCCAAAAATCCCCCGTAAAATCTCCTGTCCCCCCACCTTTAAAGCGATTTTGGACCTTTTTCAGCCTTTTTGGACCACTTTGAGCCAATTTTGGATTATTTTAGGTAATTTTGGACCGTTTTCAGTCGACTTTGGCTAATTTTAGACTATTTTTAGTAAATTTTGGTCCATTTTAAGACGTTTTAGGCTCATTTCTAGTCAATTTTGGACGATTTGTAAACAATTTCAGTCAATTTCGAAACTTTAAACACTCACCATCATCTCTCCGATCCTTCTCATCGGATCCCCTCGTTGCTGCCGTATCGGCGACGCGTGTGTCGTGTTTGGCGCCGACTGAGATCTTCCCTCAGCTGCTGAGCTCGTCGGAGCTGCAGCAGAGCTCAACGCAGCCGAGCTTCCCGCCGCCGACGATGTCGACGCTTGCTCCAAGTCAGCCTCCAAATCGAAATCCATCATTCCTCTGGTAGTAAGTGATGGGGAAACCACTTGTCGCTCATACCACGACCCTCTTGGTAAGTGTACAACACCACTGAAACTAGAAGACGCAGAGGATCCAGCGGAGCGGTTCGGTGGTGGTGGTGGAGATGAATTCTGTGCTGCCAGCCAAGTAGTTCGGAGGATTCTGGGCGTATCGTCGTCGTCATCGTGTACGTCTTGAAGCGCTGCCTGGAAGGCGGCGGCCATGGCTGTAGGCAGTCCTGGTGGCAGTGTTGGCGGAGGTGGGGGTCCTGGAGGATGGTGGTGATGATGATGATGGTGGTGATGGATCGGATGGGCTGTAGCCGTGAAGGTCACCGAGATCTGAGTCGGGGAGGCTGCTCTAGCAGGAGTCGGGTGAACCGTTTCCCTGACGATTCGTCTAGGACGAGTAGGAAGTCGTCCAGCTCGAATATCCGCGGCATCCTCCTCATTAAACGATGGTCCTGTTGGCAGGGCAGTACTCGTGGATGGGATGGAGGTTGATGGTCCCTGCTGATTCCTCTCCATCATCTCCCGCCGTCTCATCCGGCGCTCTCTGATCGCTCTAAGATCCCCAGATTGTGGCTGCGAGACATCTGAAGGCATTCTAACCACCATTCCATCATACTCATCGCTCTCCTCCAAATGGTCTGGGCTTTCATAGTCGTGTCGGGAGCCTGCTGCTTCAGATCGTGGCATAATTATCCTGGCGACATGGGTAGGGAATTCACCCCGTCCAAATAGAGACTTGACGCATTCAGCGATCGCTCGGACCAGAACCTCCTCATCTCGAACTAAGGCCAACATCAGATTCTTGCTATGCTCCACATCATTCCCAGCCGAAGCTAGAAGCTCCAGAGCAACTGCAATACACTCCCTAAGAGTGCAAAGCGGCAAATTGTTGATTCTAGTGTCCCAGGATTCTGCAGTAAACCTGGTTGTCAGCATCGTAGCGATTCTCTGCAGAGCCTCCTCTCGATAGCGACTAGCAATGTTCTTCGCGATCCTTTGAAGTTCCCGTGGCTCCACTTGTACTGGGAAGGGTGCTAGGGTGGGGGTGTCGGGGCCACGAGCATCGGGGTGGACGTTGAATCTTCCTGTGGTGTAGCGTGGGCCTGGTCCTTGTGGCTCTTGTCGGTGTGCAGCGTTCCCTGGCGGCGGTTGGGTCTCCACTGGAACACTGGGGGTGTCTCCAGCGGTACTGGTGACGATTCTGCGGGGTCTGATAGCAGCAGCTGCTGAGATGGCTGGGTTCGCTACTGCTGAGGAGGGGGCGTGGCCCGTAGTTCTCTCTATTATATTCATATTCTGGGTCAAAATCGCTTCCACTTGCTCTGGCCTCAAATTCAACATGTCATTGATCGACATTCCGCTGAAGATGTCCTCTGGAGTTGTATGGGTATTCGGGCCAATGGGCCGAATGTTTCCAGGTGCGAAGGCGTGTCGAAGGTCCACTCCACGGGCTCTGGGCTCGACGAGTCGGGCCGGCGACTGGGCCATATCCGCAGACACACTAGGTGGATAGAATGGAAGATGGGGCCATTCAGGACTAGCAATATCTGAGCAAGTCCTTGGTGGTGGCATAATCTGGTTCACCGGGATCGTATCCACAGAGGTGTCTTCTGGAGAAGACGTCATATGGAAGCTCAGCGAAGCACTATATGGAATAGGTACAGTAAGCAAGTTGACAGCGTAATGGGGAAGAATCCTCTGAGGAGATCCTGGCGTCAAAATCGGCACATCCAATTCCGATACCAAATGAGTCATATGGCCGACCAGATGACGTGCTCGTTGCATATAGTGGAAGAACATGGATAGAGCGCGAAGCCGATAGTCTACTGTAGGCCCAGCCATAGAGTCCCTGACGAATTTCAACGCTCCAGATTCATTGAGAAGGTCCAGAAGCTCTTCGAGATTTGAGAAACGGCGTTGTTGACGTCGGAAGTCTCTGATGACGTCGATGAGTTCGACGTCAAGGGCATGACGCATCACGAAGAGCGGGTTTCTGGAGGATTCAGCGTGCTGCTCGAATTTCAGACGACGGTAGTCTTCACCGTAGATTGGCTGGAATTTGAGGAAGCGGTCGCGTTCTGAAAATTGAGGAATCGATATTTTTGCATATTGTACATGGTGGCCTAACTTTTGCAAGTGGAGTTTTCTAGGCCACCATCGCAAATGACCTAGAAATGGCGTCAAATGTTTTCTAGGCCATTTTAACACGGTGGCCTAACTTTCACAAGATGACTTTTCTAGGCCATCATGTTAAATCGCTATCTGACCATTTCTAGGCCAAAAACGGTGGTGGCCTAGAAAACTCAAAAGTTAGGCCACCGTGTGAAAATAGTCTAAAAATGCCCTCAAATGTTTTCTAGGCCATTTTAACATGATGGCCTAGTTTTTG